GGAAGGCCATTGAAGCAGCTGAAGATAGTTGGGATGAAGACATTCTCCTGAGGAAGTCCTGCAGAGGTATCCTAGAACAGAGATTACTGACCTCCAACAGCCAAAACTATCTTCATTTGTGTCAGGTATGACTCCAACCAACAGAGAGTTTACCCCTAATTCTCATTTGATTCCCGTTTTGCTTGTGTTTCTTGAAGCCACACTCAGTCAAGGGCCGTTACTCTCACCTCACCTCTTCAGTTCAGAAGTGTGGTATTAAAAAGGGGCAGTGGCCTACTGGCAAGGGTAACTGACGAAAACAATCTACCAGTTGACCACGCCTATGTCATTATGGGATATGTAGGACTATGATTGGATTAGTTGTCTAGATTGAGACTGAATACAATTCAATTTCTGATGATGCACAACACCTCATGGATGCCCAATTTTAGATCTCTAGCGCTTTTTAGATCTCTTTGAAATATACACCATTCAGCACAATGGTAGTGCCACAGAACATGATGGATGCTATCCTCAGGGGGAAAATGACTCTGCAGTAGACACTCCTATCAATAATGTAATAGACAGATGCATTCCCAATAGGTAAATTGGTTAGGATGAAGTCAAGTAGGTTTTTTCCTCTTGTTTGTTCCATCACCAATTGCTGCAGATCCAATCCAATCTAACCTACTGTTACAACATCTCCTTCTCCTCCTCCTCTGAAGCAGGCCATTCGGCTTATCATGTCCACACCAACCAACTGAAAAGCATTCCACCCAGACCTACCCTATCCCTGTAACCTTGCATTTCCCATGGTTAATCCACCTAGCCTGCACAATCATGGGCACTATGGGTAATTCATCAAATCTGCACATCATTGTACTGTGGGAGGAAATCCACGCTGACACGAGGAGAATGAGCAAACTCCACACAGATAGTCACCCAAGGGTGGAATCAAACACAGACCCCTGGTGCTATGTGGCAGCAGTGCTAACCACAGAGCCACCACGCCTTCCCAAACTACATTTGTAGCAAAATAAAGTAACAAATTAGATTTCACTAATCTGATTCTGTGATCTTAATAAACTAAAAGTGTTTTAGAAAGGACATTGACCTAAAAAGGTTTCTGTGATTATCTGACTAGATTGGTTCATCAGCTTTGCCCAATCAGTACACAGCTTCCAGTCTGAGCCAAAATAAACACTGTTATAAAAGGGCAATGAAACTCAAATCTGTATGCCTTGGTTGATTCACACCTGGGTTGAAGTTATATATTGAGGTGAAAAGTTGTCTGCAGAGGATGGCTTGGAAAAATAATATGCAGACTCAAAGAGATCTTATCAACAGCTGCTTCTGCATGGCAGGACCGAAATAATGAAGAATAAATTTGTAGGCAAGAACTGAAAGGCATTCTCTCTGCCTGCCTGTCTCTCTTTTTCTCTTTGTCAATTTCAAAGGTCAGTACCAGTGAAAAAGCAACTTGGAAGAAACATGGTTCACTGAGAAATCAAGATTGTCTGCAAAGTTTGCCACTGTGAGGAAACAGGACAATAACTAAACAGTTGGGACACGGGTATCACTCTTAGAAGTCAATGACTCAAACCTAACACTGCACCTGCCTTTGCATTCCTATCTCCACTAGATGCCACACCCCTCCCCTTCTTGATAAGCTTTATATGCATGTGTTTAATGTTGCATTTTCTTACTTTTTTCTTGGATTTAATGATTAATATAACTCCAAGCTTTTTCACTCCAGCAAACTTTGGAATTGACTCTCCAGTCTTCAATTGGTTAACCAAGTGTAATTGAAGTGTAATAGTTACACGCTTTTTGAAATAAAAAAAAAATGTTGCAATCAACCAAGAGCAAGTTTTAAAAAGAGGAGTTGATCACCCTTCTTCAACTATTAGTGGACATGTAATACTAGGACTTGGCCAGCTTAGTCAGTCATGGTGCCACAAAACGACTCTTTGTGATAGACAGGGAAGTACCTAACCCAGAGCATTGCCACCTCAGTGCCTCTTCTAGTTGGAGGAATACTGATTCATCAGCTGGGGTTGAGCAGTGAAAGGTTCCCTTGCCCATGTTCAATCTGTTGGCATCAGATTTCTTTGGATCTGAAGTCAATGTTGAGGACTCATAGGGCCACTCTTTCCTGTGTGTACCACTGCACTGCCACTTCTGCTAAGCCTGACTCCCAGTTGGACAAGGCTTAACCAGGAATGGAGATGGTATCTGGGACCTTGTACGTAAGGTTTGACTATATCAGGTTGTTATTTAACAAAATCGTGGAATAGTCTTCCAGTTTTATCAAAGGTCCAGATATGTGATGAGGAGGAATTTGCATGGGCGATGAGGCTGGGTGTGCTATTCTCATTTCTAGTGCCTTGCTTGATTCTGAATTGTCTGAAAAAAAAGAAATAAAACCAGTCAGATGTAGCATTTTGATACAACTGAGTGGCTTGCTAGGCTATTTTGGAGGCGTTTAAGAGTCAACCTGAAGTATGTAGGCCAGCTAAGTATGGTGGATTTTCTTCTATAAAGGTCATTGGTAAATTAGATGGATTTTTAATGATAATTGACAGAGTTCTTATGGTTGCCATTAGATGAGATTTTAATACCGGATTTATTAATTGAATTCAAATCTCACCTTCTGCATGATGGTATTTGAACCATGCCCCTTGGGTCCAATGATCACTCATGCAATGACATTATTACCAGCCTACTGCCTCTCGGAATAAAGGCAGTTTGGGGTTTTGAAGACAATGAGTTAAGATCTCTGTCTGGAACATCTCAGAAATGAAATGTTGCCAAGATAATGGATTGGAAGGAGATTTTGTTTTGGTTTTGGATTTTTTCTCTGATTTTTTTTGAGAAACCGACAATTGAAGATTGTGTTGAGAGCTGTTAAGCAGCTGGAAACAGTAGCATACACTGTCAGGAATCAGGTGGTGTTTCAAATTTGGCATCATTATGAATGTCAGAGAGACCTTTGCTTGAACTGGCCAATCCAGAACAACAAAACATTCAGAGTTGAAGGGATCACCTGTTTGGATGTTAATGGAAGGGTACCAAGAAATTTCATACCTTATAACAGTAGGAACACTGAGGAGAACCAAAGTGCTTTCCAAAGAGCTGTGGCACAATTTAGGATCATCCCAGAAGTGATGGAACACTCAAAATTCTATAAAACATAGGCAGCCTCTCAGATGGAATTAAAATAGAACAAGTAATATTCTATTCAGTTTTCAGTATCAGCATACAAATATTTGTGAACTATAATGTTGCATTACACAAACTTGCTTTATTTGATCTTTTTACAGCAATTTTTTGTGTAAAATTTGGACTGTTACTTCTTGATATTTTCAAATAATAGCTGGGAACTATTGTTTTGTTCAAAATTGTACCAGTCTCTCCTGGGATTGAAATGATTGTTATTGGGAAATATCTATAATTTAAAGGAATATTGTCCTGTGCTGCACTGACAGATGCTGGTGATATTGTGGAATGGATAAAAATCTGATTTAATTCATTATTGGCAACTCTAAAAAATTGTAATTATGTTTTGAATCAAGTAAGCTCAGTTGTGTTAGAAATGCAGAGGATTTTGGGGGTTCAGATGTTAATATCTGTACTGTAAATGAGAAACAAATGGATTACTAAATTTTATGGCATGAGTTATAGAGTATTAATGTCAAGCCTCTACCTGACAATTTAGTAAGACGCAATAGGGCATTGGATCAATAGACAGTGTTCAGCAGTGACTCACTGGATGGTACCCGATATATCAACAAAGTCCTTTACATCCTACCCCTTACCCCAAAATAGCAAAGCATGACCCCTTGTTCCAATTCCTGAAATAAAAATGGCAGCCATTTCTGCCGCCTTCCCCACCCCCTAAAAATGGCAACTATGAACCTCAATCTCTCGAAGAGAAGCCTTGCAGTTGTCACCACACTCAATCCAAACATGGGACTGGTAGTTTCTCCTTCTATATTTATTGTCTACATAAAATGTTTGTAAAGCATACCTGTCCACTTGATAGGTCAATCATTCCCTTCTGTTCCAACTTGGAGAGAGATTGAGAGACAAGCGCAGCAAGAGATGGGCAATTAACCCAGGCTTTGGTGCTGGAATGATGCACAGTCTAAAAGTTGGGCATCTTCTGTCCCTATCTACTATCCCTGCAAACCCAATGGGCTTTGCAACCCACTGAGTGAGAAGTGCTGATCTAGGTAATATGATGCTACACGTGTCCTCACAGTTTTATTCAGTCATACAAACACACCAGTTCTGAGATCTCATCATCCGTGTTTCTATTTCATCATTTGACTTAGCCTGCACTGTAGCCTTTTCTTTTGTTTTTTTTAAATTAGGTGTTAAGGATTGAAACTTCAACAACTTTTAGATACCAAAATCTCTCTGGATCTTTCTTCATCCTAGTTTTCCTCCGACTCTAATCTTCTTTTTCCAACCTCAGCCCTACATATTATCCCCTCTTAGAACTCCAATCCCTGATCCCAAAATCTCATTGCTCAACAAATGTATCAGCTTCTTCACCTCAATCAATTTTCAGATTTGGTTTGATACTGACTGCTAATCACTGCTCCCATTCTTTTGCAGACAGGTATGGAGAATGCTTCAAAATTTGCCAGTTACAGCTCGACTACACTCATTACATTTTTCTTATTTTCTCATTACCATCTTTCCATGGTGTCCACTATCCCTTTTGTCATTTAATCACTTCCTGCCTTTCATCCCTTCAAAGACCTTCATTTTAGTACTTTCATTTCATTTTACTACCTTGACTTGATTAAAACTTATAACATCTCAAATTTTTGCTGGTTTTGATGAAAGGTCACCAACCAGAATGTGAATTAAATTTGTTTCAATATCCAGGGATATGCACACTGAGTATTTCCTGCATTTCTGTTTATTTCAAATGTTCAACATCTGCAGTATTTTGTACTTCTACAAAATAAATAAACAAATTATTTTGGTTGAGGGTATAGAATGTATGACACAGAGAATGAACTCTGTCTTCTAAACAGCAACAAACGGTTTTTTGACAGAAAGCTTCTCTTATATGTTCTCCTTCATTTTTTTCTTGACCATATTTATTGAGAGATGTATTTAGGATTCCTTTGGATTTCTCATTTCCTCTTTTTCCTCGAGTTCTTTCAAGCTGCATAAATAGAACCATGTTATTTAACAGTTTAAGAATGCATGGTTACAAAAAGGATTTGACCATAAATATCTGTTTTGGCTTGTATTCCTTGTAAATCAAGGCCTGCTCTACAGCTGCAGTACATTGAACTGTTATGTGATATTTTGCCCGTAGTAATTTTACATTAAGCAAAGTGTTGATTTTTAAATCTGAATAATTGCATCAGAGTATTGATGATATGTTTCTGTACCGATTACTGGTGGCACGAGATTGGGATGGAGCATTGCCACTAATCTTCCTTTTAATATTGAATCTAAGACACCACCTGATTAGAAAGATAAAGGATAAACCATTATCACATCTTAATGAGAAGCCCCATTTGTCTTATACATGGTGGAGCATATTGTGTCAAAAGGTGCAAGATTTATTGACAAGTATGGTTTGATTGTAAGGGTAATCATGAGCTGGAGATGACATCTCTTCCTCCTCAGGGCCTTGTACAAGTCTGCTTCTTCTCTTCCCAAAGACAGAGTCATTGTCAGACTACGTGACACATAATATTGCTTCAACATGAGCTCTGACAGATTTTTGACCTAATACAACAACTCTCTGCAAGATTTTTCTTCATTATTAGCATTTATGCATTCAGATATACAACTACTTTTATATTTACCATTATTTCTATGTCTTCCCAAGGGATTGACTTCACAAATTCAGGTCTGCAGGGTTCTGAATTTTTCTGGAATATGTTCTCTCAGATTTGGAGGGTTTTTAACTCGATAATTGTTGACCTTGATTCAGATTCTCTGTAAGAACTTTCTTTTTCAGCAAAGAAATGACTATCTCTTTGATCCTCTGTGAATGATGCAATTCTGTTATATCTAGTCATTGGTCCATTATCCTTATCTGAGAGACATGTAATCTCTTGAATCTCTGTTATTGAAGACAGCTGCTCTGGTGAATCAAGTACTTTAATCCTCCTCGTTAGTAATGGTGTTCTGAATCTGTGGACATTGGAATGGTGTCCATGAACTTTCATATGCAGCTCACTTCCATTTTATTCAAGCAAAATCTTTATTCTCACTCTGCTGATCCATCTTTGTTGGAGTATCCAAGTTATTTTCTACATCTTGTTGATTAGGTTAGATGACGTCATTCACCCTTGGATAGTCTTACTGATAATTTAATCACTTTCACATCCTCAGTCAAGTTACTGGTCTTACATCATATTATTTTTGTCACTGGTGCTCATTTTTTCCTCTGGAGAATAAAAAAAATATCGAATGTTGCTCCTCTTCTAGCAACAAGTCCAATCTGCCATATGAATTTTATTTAGGGCTGAGATGAGGGGGAATTTCTTTAGCTCGACTGTGGTGAAGCTGTGGAACTCATGGCCTCCATAGCCTTCTGCAGCAAAGTTATTAAACGTATTTAAGACAGAGGTAGATAATCTCTTGATTAGTAAGGGGATCAAGTGTTATGGGGAGAAGGCAGGATAATAGGTTTGAGAAACATCAGCCATGATCAAATGGCAGCGCAGACTCAAAATAGGGCCAAGTCAGCATAGCTTTGTCATAGGGAGGTCATGCCTGACAAATCTGTTAGAATTCTTTGAGAAAGTAACAACAAAGTAAGACAAAGGAGAGGCAGTAGATGTGGTTGCTTTACTGTCTGAACTACTTCAGTAAACAGTTTGTCAGTGAGCTCAAGTGGGTTGTGCTGTTCATTTGTGATCTCAGTATCTACTTCCACTGACGAACTTTGCTGTTTCTTGTCAACTGAATTTTCTTCAGTGATGATAAGAATGGAAAATATTTCACTTGTCCTGTAAAGTCAGTCACTTCCTTCCTGTTGATTGTTTAAAACAATGCCTTATGCCAACATAGGTAGCCTTAATAGACTTTTCATTGAGTCTTACTGCATTCTGCCATGAGCCTAGAAAGCCCAAGGAAATATTCTATGGTTACCCCTTGAATGGTTAATCAATGATGGTTTATTTCTCAACCAATTATCTACTACCTTAAGGATATTAATTCAAGACAAACACAGACTTAAAAGAGAGAAATATTGCTTTTGAATTATGTACCACTTTCAATTTTCTTATGCTCTTTGTGATGCAGTGTTACTTTGTATTATATCTATAACCCTTGAGAGTTATTCCAGCAGGATATACAGTCTCATTTCCTTGGGTACAGTGCATGGTGGAACTTGTTGTTTGGACTAATTCCATGAACATATGTATATGTTTCCTTTCATATTAGTTACTGGGTGAGAAATTCATTTATCCCAAATTTTGGTCATTGGATTAGAATTCACAACATATCCATTCCCATTCCGATCGAGGTAGATGACATTGTTTCTACACCCACCACTTCATGAAGGACTGTAGTATTAACTGGTGGATCTCCAACTCTACTTTCCGATTCTTAATGCAGGCAGTAGCTCTGCAGCAGGCCCCAGCAATGCGGTTTGCTGATCACTGGCTAGACACAAAATCCTTGCTCTCTTACAGATAAGCTACCTCCTTAAAGGAAGCCACACAGAAGGAGTTCCATAGTGAAAATAATTGGAAACTCAACACCAAGGCAAAGGAATCTGTAGTGTTGGTTGCAGGGCTTGGAGGCCTTTGCTATGTGGCTTGGGATGGGAAAATTTGTTATCGTGTAACAAAAAAGTAGGAAACCCTTAGAATCAGAAGAATGGGAGCAGATAGCCACTGCATAAGCAAGTTTGCTAAATAAACACTATTTTGCTCAACATAAATAGAATTGCATTGGGAACAAATGTGGCAATGCACAAATATCCTCAACTTAATTCTAAGTAAATCCATCAGTCAGATCCATTGGCAACAGTTTGTATGTGCCTCTCCTCCCTTTCAATTTACCAGCTGCCCTTTCAATCTTTTGTTAAAAGGTCTTTGGTTTCATGGAAGTTACAAACATACAATAGGTGAACCTTTGAACTCTGGTTTTTCGAGACAAATAACATGAAAGTGACTTGTCTCAGACTTAAATTGTAAACTGACACAGGGCGGCTATTAGAAACTAAGGCCATCATCAGACAACAGTGAAGCACATCGTCACACTCGACAAAAGACTGAAGCACAGAATAGGAGTGAGTAACTACAGACAGACGGGAGGAAACACAATACATCCAACCTGATTAGATTACAAGAAGTATTTGTAAGCTAAGTTTTCAAAGACACATACAGACCTTACAAAGTTCACATTTTAGAATTTATTTTGTGTGCTCACCATGTGTTTTGTTTTCCTTTTGATTCACTGCAGTTTCATTCCATACTTTATTTTGTGTCTCACCATTTTATATACTTCACAGCTGTGCCATTAAGTGATGTCGTCCTTTTGTAATTATTTTACTTAGTAGGACTTAATCATGTTCCTTTCAGAGTTATTTCTCTTTCACATTAATAAATTGGTTACTGAGGTTGAGTTGCCTCTAAGAGAGCCCAATTAATCATTTTGTGATTCATATGAAGCCATGAAATTGATGTGAAGTTGGTAACTGACAATCAGCCAAACATCAAGTGTGGCAGCCAGGTGGATACAAACATTTATCAGGTGGAATTAAATTTCTAATTGTCTCTCTAACTTGGACTCTGCAATTAGTGTCAAGCAAAAACATTGAGCTTGTTGAGGGTAGTCTAATGATTAAAACAGTTAAGTGTTCCTGAGGAGTATTTCTCTGTTAAAATAAAAACAAAAGCCACCACAAAGAGGAAAATTATGAAGAGTTCATTGTGGAATTTGAAAGGGAAAGAGTTTTCCATTCGGCCTCTTATGAGCTGCTGCTTTTGTGCATGTTCCAGGCCGTTGCTCTTCAAAGTGCTCGGATTTTTTTCTGTGTGACTCTATAAAGTTAATCATTGTAGCTCCAAACGTTTGATCAGCAATTCCACAACTTTTAAAAATGGATAGATAGGAAAGAGTTGAAATGTACATTCAGAAGGCATGAATACATGCCATTTGATAAAATGATATATTGACTGCAATTGACTGTGCAGTCATGCTATGGATTTGTCCGGAATGAAATGCTTTTGGAATTTTGAAAACATTAGTAACCAATAGACAAAGTAGAACTGAAAGTCTGTTGGCCATTAGGAATTTATATTTTCATTTCAAGCTGCTGGCCATACTGCATAAGAAATAAGAGTCGCTGTTAGCCATACAGCCCTTAAAAGCTGCTCATTAATCCAATAAGAACATTGTTGGTCACAGACCCTGGCTCCACTTTCCTGACTGATCCCTATCTTCCTTTTTTAAGATTCCAAAGATTGATCACTCTGAGTCTGCGCTGCCATTTGATCATGGCTGATGTTTCTCAAACCTATTATCCTGCCTTCTCCCCATAACACTTGATCTCCTTACTAATCAAGAGCTTATCTACCTCTGTCTTAAATACGTTTAAGTAACTTTGCTGCAGAAGGCTATGGAGGCCATGAGTTCCACAGCTTCACCACAGTCGAGCTGAAGAAATTCCCCCTCGTCTCAGCCCTAAAAGATCATCCCTTCACATTGAGGCTGTGCCCTCAGGTTCTTAAAAGTGGAGACACCTTCTCCACATCCACTCTATCGAGGCCTGTGAATATTCTGTGAGTAAAGAGATCCCATCCTCATTCCTTCTAAATTCCATCAAATACACATCAAGAGTCCTCAACTGCACCTCATGTGATGAGACCTTAATTCCTAGGATCATTGTTCTGAGTCTGCTGTGGACTCCCTCCAAGGCCAGCACATCCTTCCTTAGATAACGGTCCCAAAGCAGGTCACAAAATTCCAAAATGACCAGAGCCATATATAACTTGAGCAGTACATCCATGCTCCTGTATTCTAGCCCTCTCGAAATAATAATGCTAACATTGCATTTGCCTTCCTAACTGCCAACTATACCTGCATACTAACCTTAAGAGAATCCTGAACCAGGATTCCTAAGTGTTTTTGTGCTTGAGATTTCTGAAGCCTTTCGCCATCTCGAAAATAGCCCATACCTCTTCTTCCTACCAAAGTGCATCAGCTGACACTTTTCCACATTGCATTCTATCTGCTGCTACTTTGGCCACTCCCCTAGCCTGTCGAAGTCCTACTGCAGCCTCCCTGCTACCTCAATGCCACCTGTCCCACGATCTATCTTTGTATCATCTGCAAACTTAGCAACAATGCTTCATCCAGATTGTTAATGGGTAACATAAATGGTTATGGTCCCCACAATGACTCCTGCAGAGCTCAACTAGTCAACAGCTATCATTCTGAAAAGACCCCTTCATCCTCACACTCTGCCTTCTGCTAGTCAGCCAATCCCTATCCATGTAAATACCTTGCCCCAACACCTTGAGCTCTTATCCTATTTAGCACCCTCCTGTGCGGACCTTGTCAAAGTGCCAAAAGTGTCAAAGGAAGTCCAAATAAACCACATCTACTGCCTCTCCTTTGTCTCACTTTCTTGTTACTTTCTCAAAGAATTCTAACAGATTTGTCAGGCATGATCTCCCTATGACAAAGCCATGCTGACCTGGCCCTATTCTACCATGCACTACCAAGGACTCTGCAATCTCATCCTTAATAACGGGTTCTAGGATCTTACCAACAATCAAGTTCAGGCTAACCAACCTATAATTTCCCATCTTCTACCTCCCTCCCTCCTTAAAAAGAACCATTATTTTTGTCCTCTGGGATTCTCCCTGACTCTAGTGATTCCTGAAAGATCATTACCAATACCTTCACAATCTCTTCAGCTATCTCTTTGGGTTTAACCCATCTGTTTTGGAATATTTATCCACCTCCAGACCTTTCAGCATTCTCAGCACCTTCTCCTTAATGATGGCCATTACACTCGTCTCTGCCTCCGAATCTCTTGAAGCTGTGGTATGCAACTGTTGGCTTCCACCATTAAGACTGATGCAACATACCTATTCAGTTTCTCTACCACTTCTTTGTTCCCCATTACTACTTCTTCTCCAGCCTCATTTTCCAGCAGTTCAAGGTCCACTCTTGCCTCTCTCTTACCTTTTATATATCTGAAATATCTTTAGCAATCTACTTTTACATGACCAGTCAGCTTACCTTCATGTTTCAGCTTTTCTTCCCTTTATTGCTTTCTTAGTTATCTTCTGGTTTTTTAAAGGCTTCCCAGTCCTATGGCTTCCCATTAATCTTCACCACATTGTATGCTTTTTATTTGGCTTTTATGGTGTCCATGACTTCCTTTGTTAGTCTTGTTTACCTTGTTCTTCCCTGAGTATGTTCTTTCTTCCTTGGGTTGAATTTCTGCTGTGCCTCCCAAATTATCTGTTCCATTGTTTTATCTACTAGGTTCCCCAGGTACCTCTGGCCAGCTCCTACT